TGATTTTCCACTGTCCTTACTCTCTTTGCACCATCCATGTGGTTTCCTTTCACGTCCTCTGATATAATGGTTCTCAGTCCTGGCTTCATATTAGGATCATGTGTGGAGATTTTTTTAAAAAATACTGTTGCTAGGGCCACACCTTCAGATATTTTGATTCACTTGTGTGGGGTGATGTCTAGGCATTTGTATTTTTGGAAGGGATCCAAATGATTTTAAGGCTCAGTGAGGGTTGAGAACGGTGTCTGTAATGCAACAAACCCTTTCTCAAGTCAAGTCCTTAACCCATAGTGTTTCTCTGAAAAACTCTTCCTCTGCTCTCCTGACCCCCATAATCTCTAAGTTTGAGCTTAAAACTTCTTCAGAAAACAAATTTTCCTTGATACCCTCTGCTAGTTTAGCTTTCCTTAATCATCCCTATAAATCCTCTTTTGTTGAATACTTACCGATTTCCTGTGTTTCAAATTTGCTTTCCCATGAGATTACTGGCAGAACCTATCTGTCTTGCCCCTGTTCTAACCCCACTGCTTAACACAGCACCTAGTACACAGTAGACACTAAACAACTATCTGATGATCAACTGAAAATGTTTGTATCCTGGGGATTCAATCTTGCAGAGATATTATATTTAGTTCTTCATCTTTCCATAGCAAGATTCTTGGTTGAGGGGAGATTTGTAAGGATGGCAAAGGATTTTTGATGAGGGAAGTGTGTATTTGGGGTACCCTCATGAGCCAAGATATGTTGATGCTAAGACCCTAAAATGTCTGGAGATTTGGTGAAGTAGGCCTTCCAGTAGTGTGCAGAGATGAGGGCCCCACATCTCCCTGGAAAAGAACTTTCTAAGAAAAGACAGTGGAGGCACAAAACTAGTTTAAAGAGAATGATTCATTAGAAAAAAAAAAAAAGGAGTAGGGCAATTCTACATAATATAACAGCACAGTAACTTTCTTTCAGGGATTTGTCCCATCAATCTTCCCCAGAGTTTAAGTCAAGCAAGGAATGAATATAAGAACAAGTAAAATCTGTTAAGAACTACAAAACTGAGAGTGCACAGTGTAGTTACACTGGTTCTGGTTCTTTTTGCAGTAGTAGAAAATAATTTAACTGGATTTGGGAGTAGGCAGTGAATTTATTCTGGGTGTAGCCTTCACCTATCTCGGTATCTGGCCTTGGCAGTGTTGGTAGGGACACAAGAGCATCAGCAACAGCAATCACTACCTTCAGTAAGGCACCAGCACAAGACAGAAAGCCTAAGAGGTAAGGGCATTGGATATTCATGCCCTCAATTCAGATGCCCCATCTCTCTGAACTTTTGACATTTTGCTATTATCAGAGAAAGGAGACATTCTAGTGAGCTAAGATTAAGGGAAAAGTTCAGACTCACATAGTATTCTAGAAGATCAAGTCCATGGCTCCCTTTGAACATTCCCAGGATAGTTTGGGAATTACCAGAGGGAATTCAAATTCCCTCAGAATAATGATTATTATGATAATACCATTTTCTCCCTGGCTAAGGTGGCATAAGAAAACACACATTATCCATATGTGATTTGAAACATCTGAGATTTAAGAAACTAGTCAAGTTGGCACAACTCCAATTCTTCTGGCCAAGAATGACAAGCGATATTGAACAAAAAATGTCAATGATATAAGATATATATAAAAAGCACATGGATAGTTTAGAGAACAAAGCCAAAATAATAAATATGGAAGCTTAAGGCCCACCAGACTGGCCCTAGAATCCAGTGTTATGAAATATATTACAAAGTACAGATTTCCAGGATTGTGAGCATTTTTTTAAATTAATTAATTTATTTATTTTTGGCTGCATTGGGTCTTCATGGCTGTGCACGGGTTTTCTCTAGTTGTGGTGAGTGGGGGCTACTCTTCGTTGCGGTGCGCGGGCTTCTCATTGCAGTGGCTTCTCGTTGTGGAGCACAGGCTCTAGGCGCACGGGCTTCAGTAGTTGTGGCACGCAGGCTCAGTAGCTGTGGCTCGTGGGCTCTAGAGCGCAGGCTCAGTAGTTGTAACGCATGGCTTAGTTGCTCTGAGGCATGTGGGATCTTCCTGGATGACGGCTCAAACCCGTGTCCCCTGCATTGGTAGGCAGATATTTAACCACTGCGCCACCAGGGAAGTCCCAGGATTGTGACCGTTTTATCAGTTACTGTGGGTTTCCAGTGAAGACCCAGAGTGATTAAGGAGTCATTGAAAATGATATAAAAGAGAACTTATCCATATAATAGAAGTTAAAGCCAGAATGATAATCACATCTCCCCAGAGGAGGCACTGAAGAATTTCTGGGAACACTGGTGAGCATGTTATATATTTGAAACAATAACAAAAAGCCTAATTGGGAAAAGCAGGTGAAATTCCTGGCTAAATCCTATAACTCCCTATACCGACACCACTGGAGAATCAGTCTGTACATGTTAGACAATCCTTACTGCTTATCAATGTGTGCACTGGCTTTTGGAATTAGATAAACATTAGCAGTATATATGGCACAGGTGAAAGCATGCTTATAACAAGGAAGGGATATTGCTGTAAATCAGTGAATCAACAAAAGATGTGACGCTAAAGTAATACGGGCAGAACAATAAACTGGTGATAGATTTGTGGTAACAAATTTGAAAAAGAGAGATCCTAGCTAACAGAGGGGAAGCAGAGGTCCATGTTATTAGAGATCAAAGTAATGACGATTATTACTGTACAAGCAAGCTACAGGCTTAAAAATGGCTTCTCAATTCTGGCTGTACATCAAAATTTTCTGGAAGGCTTTTTTTTTTTAATGTTGATGCCTGGTCTTGAATACAGACCTATTAAATCCATATCTCTGGAGGTGTGGCCCAGGAATCAAAATCAATATTTTTTAACCCCTTAATGTACTGCCAATGTTAAGAATCAGTGCTTTAAATTTAAAGTGTTACAAATTAACTTCTAAGGACTCAAGCCCAGTTAGAACATATTGTATAAGAAAAGTTCCCATTGAAACAATACTGCCAAAGGATCATTGCTTATATCAAACAAAATGTTCAGTTAGTCACTGCCCAGAGAAACACAACTAGTAGATTTCTGGCCAAATTAAATGAAAGTGGTGACAAGGACAAAAATGTCTTTCCAAAATAGACCAATCACCATTATTCTTCCATGTTACAGTGAGAGTTGTCTGCCATATAGAAGATTCCATGCTCTCTAAGTAATAATAATGTGCAGTATGTTAATAAATAACATAGCAAAGAATTATTCTCTCAAGATTAAGTAAAATCATGTTTGGCATTGTTAGGAATCAATGCTAGATATGAATATAAATATTTTAGAGAAAGGAGAATAAGTCCTCTGAAGCACTCAGTCTGAGCACAGCCCAGAGAAGAGGTGTTAGACAATGATCAGTGTGGTGACTCCCAGGAAGGTCATGGCAGGATGCTTTATCCCTAGTGGGGAGATGCCATTTTTTAATTCAGATCCCCAATCAGGAAGTTTCTCTGACTCTCTCATCTGTTTGGGCTGGTTTACCATGGTACCAGAGAATGGGTGGCTTAAACAACAGAAATTTATTTCTCACAGTTCTGGATGCTGGGAAGTCCAAGATCAAAGAATGGTAGATTCAGTATCTGGTGAGATTCTTCTTCCTGGGTTTCAGACAGCCATCCTTTCCTTGCATCCTCACATGGTGGAGACAGAAATCGCAAGCAAGCTCTCTTATGTCTCTTCTTATAAAGGCTCTAATCCCATCATAGGGGTTATCTCTCATGACCTCCTCTAAACCTAATCACCTCCCAAAGGCCCCACTTCCTAATATCATCACACTGGGGGTTAGGGTTTCAACATCGAAATTTCTCAAAATTCAAACACGCAGTCCACAACACGATCTTAATAGACAGGCATATAGCTCTATCCATCAAGATTGCTCTTACACTCCACAGAGGCAAAACACAGATCCCACAGGGCACTCAATGCTGGAGTCAGCAAAGCAGCACTTAGCAAACAGAGAAGGGCTTTTTTTTAATGTGCGAAGTATTCAGGGGCAGTCATTTGCCATGCACTAGAGGAATAAATTCCCTTTGAAATACCATTATTATACAGCAGTACCTAAAAGAGAACTTTGAGCTATTTCAGAAATAGAGACTGAGAATTTCTATAAACAGCACTAATGGGTCTGATACAAGAAAGTGACATTGCAACAGAGGCTTGCATGAACAAGAGTGGGATGTGCAGAAGAAAAGAGGTGCTATTCCATTAGGTCTTCTCCAGTTCTCCAACTTCTTGAATAAAGAAGTGGAGATTCTTGGGCTTCCCTGGTGGTGCAGTGGTTGACAGTCCGCCTGCCGATGCAGGGGACACAGGTTCGTGCCCGGGTCCGGGAAGATCCCACATGCCGCGGAGCGGCTGGACCCGTGGGCCATGGCCGCTGAGCCTGCGTGTCTGGAGCCTGTGCTCCGCAATGGGAGAGGCCAAAAAAGAGAGAGGCCCGCCAACAGAAAAAAAAAAAAAAAAAAAAAAAAAAGAAATGGAGATTCTTAATGGAATCCCATTTATAATCATTTATAAATTTAAATAGTTATATTAGACAGCTATACACTGACCTGTACATGGTTCCCACTCTATAGTAGTGTGAGTTTGGACATTTTTCAGTAAGGCCTGATTTAAATCACCTTGCTGATATGTTTATAGATAGACTCCACACTGAGCAGACTGCACTTAATGGTTAGAGTGTTGTATAGGAGGGCACCCGGTAAAGAGCATTCCTAATAAATTTTTGTCTGGAAATGCTAATTATATAAGCACAGTGGTTGGCTGTAAAAGGCCAGCATTTAATATCATGCATAGGTTTAAATTACAGTTTGTCTGGTCTCATCACTTCTATAAACCCTTGGGCTTATATTTCAAGTCCAATTTGGTCCCCTTGGTTTCTGTAAAAGACAGAATTACACATGATGTTATGAGCCCCACAGGTCTGTCATCATTGATTCTTTTCTCTCTCCTGGTACTTACAGGTGCAAACAGCTGCCAGCCTATGGGATGCATACTCAGGCCTGTTAAGTAATCAAGCCATGATCCTGGCCATGAACTCCAGGTATAATAAGCTTTAATGCTTTCATATCACTGATTGAGTACCTTTTTAAAAATGTAATAAATACATATCAAAAATATGAGAAATAAAAAGTTACTCCAAATTCCACCACCCTAATTCAGCAACTATTAGCTCTTTCTTTCTCATGTTCTTTTAAATCTTTCTGTATTGCAGGAATAGGCAGATTATTTAACTACTGCAGAATCATAAGCAGGTTGCACATTCAATTTTCTATCCTACTTTTCATTTTTGCTTTGTCTTAATTTTTAATTTCTCCGTAAAATCATATTTTCATTTTAATGGCAATGGAATATTCCAAAATTTTGACATTTTCTAAATTATATTATATTTTACCAACATTATGATAATCATCCTAGTACGTAAAAGATTGTATCTGCTCTGAACTACTTCCTTGAAATACCATTCTGAAAGTGAGGTTCCTGATTTAGGTGATAGGCAACCATGAAAATGCCCTGCTGTGGGGGAATCCTCATTGGTCAACAACTCCAGCCCTGCCTGTATAGATTCACCAGCACGGTCTGTGAGGTGTCACTTCCTGTAGGCTGATCTCACCAATGACCCAGAATGGTAGGACAAATAACTCCAATGGGTGACTTCAGCTTGAGGGATCGCCATCAGCCAAGCTGAACCCTCCTTGGAACTTGCTGCAGTCCAAGACTCTTCCTACCCTATTCCTCCTTCCTTCCTTCTCTTGGAAATCTCTTGTACTTCTAATCCTGTTTTGGCATCTGCTTCCCCTGAACCCAAAGTAATGCAGATGAGATGAACCTTCTAAGAGCTTTTGATTGTGTCAACTTGTTTTCCAGAAGAACTGCACTTATTAATAAGTGTTTTGTCAAAGCCTAGTCACCTAGAAGATACTCATACATGTATACATAGATCCATATAAACAAAATTTGGCATACTGTATTATATTATTTTACAGGGTTCATGGAAAGGCAGACCCTGGATTAGAATCCCCTTCTCCATATTTTAATTTAATTTCTTGGTCTACTTAAATGCCCTAAAAATGCCCCCCCCCAATAGTTTTTCCTTTATTCTTTAAAATTTGTTATAGATTTTAGTTTTCATATTTCGACCAAGTATAATTTGGTACATAAAGATTTACGTGTGTTATACCTTCATATATACTTGTATAATTTAATAATATAAATAAATTTTGTTACTATTAAACTCATATAATAGCTTACTTATTTTTTTGACTAATTTAGTCTTTATTAATTATTATTTAGTTTCTGCTTACTCTTTTGCTTGTCTTTTTTTTGTTGCTGTTATTGGAGTATAGTCGATTTACAATGTTGTGTTAGTTTCAGGTGTATAGTAAAGTGAATCAGTTACACATATATCTACTCTTTTTTAGATTCTTTTCCCATATAGGCCACTAGAGATTATTGAGTAGATTTCCCTGTGCTATACAGTAGGTCCTTATTAGTTATCTATTTTATATATAGTAGTGTGTATCTGTCAATCCCAATCTTCCAATTTATCCCTTCCCCCCTACCCCCCGGTAACCATAAGTTTGTTCTCTACATCTGTAACTCTATTTCTGTTTTGTAGATAAGTTCATTTGTACACTTTTTTTAGATTCCACATGTAAACAATATCACATAATATTTGTCTCTCTTTGTCTGACTTACTTCACTCAGTATGACAATCTCTAGGTCCATTGATGTCACTGCAAATGGCATTATTTCATTCTTTTTTATGGCTGAGTAATATTCCATTGTATATACATACCACACCTTCTTTATCCATTCATCTGTCAATGGACATTCAGGTTGCTTCCGTGTCCTGGCTATTTTAAATAGTGCTGCAATGAACATTGGGGTCCATATATCCTTTTGAACCATGTTTTTTCTCCAGATATATGCCCAGGAGTGGGATTGCTGGATCATATGGTAGCTCTACTTTTAGTTTTTTAAGGCACGTCCACACTGTTCTCCATAGTTGCTGTATCAATTTACATTCCTACCAACAGTGTAGGAGGGTTCCCTTTTCCCCACACCCTCTCCAGCACATATTGTTTCTAGATTTTTTGATGATGGCCATTCTGATTGGTGTGAGGTGATACTTCATTGGAGTTTTGATTTGCATTTCTCTAATAATTAGTGATGTTGAGCAGCTTTTCATGTGCTTTTTAGCTATCTGTATGTCTTCTTTGGAGAGATGTCTATTTAGATCTTCTGCCTATTTTTTTGATTGGGTTGTTTGTTTTTCTGATATTGAGCTGCATGAGATGTTTGTATATTTTGGAGATTAATCCCATGTCAGTTGCTTCTTTTGCAAATATTTTCTCCCTTTATGAGGGTTGTCTTTTCATTTTGTTTATGGTTTCCTTTGCTGTGGAAAAGCTAAGTTTAATTAGGTCCCATTTGCTTATTTTTGTTTTTATTTTCATTACTCTAGGAGGTATATTGAAAAAGATCTTGCTATGATTTATGTCAAAGAGTTTTCTATGTTTTCCTCTAAGAGTTTTATAGTATCCAGCCTTTTAGGCTTATAGTATCCATTTAGGCCTTTAATCCATTTTGAGTTTATTTTCGTGTGTGGTGTTAGGGAGTGTTCTAATTTCATTCTTTTACATGGAGCTGTCCAGTTTTCCCAGGACGACTTATTGAAGAGACTGTCTTTTCTCCATTGTATATTCTTGCCCCCTTTGTCACAGATTAGGTGACCATGGGTGCATGGTTTTATCTCTGGACTTTCTATCCTGTTCCATTGATCTATATTTCTGTTTTGTGCCAGTATCATACTGCTTTGATGACTGTAGCTTTGTAGTATAGTCTGAAGTCAGGGAGCCTGATTCCTCCAGCTCCGTTCTTCTTTCTCAGGATTGCTTTGGCTTTTGTGGTCTTTATGTTTCCATACAAATTGTAAAATTTTTTGTTCTAATTCTGTGAAAAATGCCATTGGTAATTTGATAAGGATTGCATTGAATCTGTAGATTGCTTTGGGTAGTGTAGTAATTTTCACAATATTGATTCTTCCAATCTGAGAACATGTTATATCTCTCCATCTGTTTGTGTCATCTTTGATTTCTTTCATTAGTATCTTATAGTTTTCTGAGTACAGGTCTTTTACCTCCTTAGGTAGATTTATTCCTTGGTATTTTATTCTTTTTGATGTGATAGTAAATGGGATTATTTCTTTGATTTCTCTTTCTGATCTTTCATTGTTAGTGCATAGGAATGCAAGGGATTTCTGTGCATTAATTTTGTATCCTGCAACATTACCAGATTCCTTGATGAGCTCTAGTAGTTTTCTGGTAACATCTTTAGGATTCTCTATGTATAGTATCATGTCATCTGCAAACAGTGACAGTTTTACTTCTTCTTTTCCAATTTGGATTCCTTTTATTTCTTTTTCTTCTCTGATTGCCACGGCTAGGACTTCCAAAACTATGTTGAATAATAGTGGTGACAGTGGACATCCTTGTCTTGTTCCTGATCTTAGAAGAAATGCTTTGAGAATCTCACCATTGAGAATGATGTTTGCTGTGTGTTTGTCATGTATGGCCTTTATTATGTTGAGGTAGGTTCCCTCTATGCTCACTTACTGGAGAGTTTTTATCATAAGTGGGTGTTGAATTTTGTCAAAAACATTTTCTGCATCTATTGAGATATTATATCATTTTTATTCTTCAATTTATTGATGTCGTGTCTCACACTGATTGATTTGCAGATATTGAAGAATCCTTGCATCCCTGGGATAAATCCCACTTACTTGATCATGGTGTGTGATCCTTTTAATGTGTTGTTGGATTCGGTATGCTAGTATTTTGTTGAGGATTTTTGCATCTATCTATGTTCATCAGTGATATTGGCCTGTCATTTTCTTTTTTGTGATATCTTTATCTGGTTTTGGTGTCAGGGTGATGATGGTGTCATAGAATGAGCTTGGGAGTGTTCATTCCTCTGTAATTTTTTGGAGGAGTTTCAGAAGGATAGGTGTTAACTCTTCTCTAAATATTTGATAGAATTTGCCTGTGAAGCCATCTGCTCCTAGATTTGTGCTTGGTCTATTCATATTTTCTATTTCTTCCTGGTTCAGTCTTGGAAGGTTGTACCTTTCTAAGAATTTGTCTATTTCTTCTAGGTTGTCCATTTTATTGGCGTATAGTTGCTTGTAGTAGTCTCCTATGATTTCTTATCTTTTAAATCTTTTTTTAAACTTGCCATTATACTATTATTTCTCCTTTTCCTTTTTTTTTCCATAATGCATTTATTTTGCTTATGTCCTTCATGTCTTTGGTTGTATTTTTAGTCCTTTTAAAATCTTAAATTATATGTTTAGTTTATTATTTTCCCTCATTTTAAATAAAAAAAAGTCTTGACAGTATTTAAGTACTTTGAATTTTCTAATTTTTAAAATAGACTTCTCATTGTGATTTGAGAACGAAATATATATCCTTTTATATTTTGAAACTTTCTATGGCTAAGTATATGGTAAATATTTGTCAGCATTCCATGATTATCTGAAAAAATAATCCTTGTTATCTCAATTAATACAATTTATACCTCCTTATTAATTCTATTAAAGGTCTCTCCTTTTGCAGAATTTTTATTTTTATCTACCATATACTAATAATTGAATGCTTAATCATCTCCTATATCTGTGTGTCTATTTCTCCTTATATCTTTAATAATATAATAATTTTTCATAAAATTATTATATAAATAATTCTGTTTAATAATTTTTCAATTTTGTTTCTACGTGGTTTGAGAACTTTTGTATTAATAACTATGTCTTTTATTATTTTATAATAATTGCATATATCTCTCTTAATACTCTTTCATTTGTATTAGACTTGTATCATATTGATATAGCCCTCCTGATTTATTTTTGATCATGTTTAATATAATTTTCCCATGCTTTTATTAGGAGGCATCGACTTTCCTTTATTCAATTGTGATTCTTGAAATTATACTTGTAAAAATTTTGCTTACTGACCTTATATAATACTTATTGCTTCATAATAGGAAGAAATAAAACATTTTCAAGAAATATTTTAGTACATTTGGCTTACCTCTACTTCTCACTTCACTCTAATATCTGAAAAAACATTTCACTCAAAAATTTAACAAAAGCATACAGTAATTTGTGAGGGATGCTTATTCTTTCTTCTCAAGTTTCTTTCTATACCACCTGGTTATATATCTTGGAATATAAGAAAGGTTTTACACTGCCATTCTTATTTCCAAGATGTCATTTTTTGTAAAACACATTAGTAATTTAATACTTGTTCTTTTGAAAACCAATTACATGTAGCCCAAAAAACAATGTATACTTGCTGATAATTGCCGATGTTGACCTATATATTTATATCGGACTTTCTTTACTATCACCAATATCTGACTCTCAGTGTTCTTCACACTTAAAATGTGAAGATTCTTTTGTCCATCAGCAGTTATGAATGGCATCAGAGTATCACACTACTTTCCTAATCCTTGTTCATGACATGGACCATTTTAGCATTTTTAGGACTGGCAATATGATTTCAAAGTACATTAAAAGACACTATTTTCTATTTTATCAAAATATTAATTTTGCATTTTTCTAAACAAAATCATATATCTCTAGAAACCTACAACTGAAAATACTACTGGAAGCTTTTGATAGGTAGCTGTTCAGAGTCTGAAAATCCATTGGAGCCCATGAATAAGTCAAATCAATCTTCTCAAGATTTGAAAATTATCTAATATAATACGAGAAATGCCGTTTCAAACAATGGATATCAGATATTTAGGTCTTCTTCTCCAGTAGAGGAAAAAGATTCTGAGTTCAGCACAAGATTTCCTACCTTAACAACTATATTACCATCTTTTTTAAAAAAATTATTTTTAACACAAAAAAATCAGGAGGCACTGTTATCCAGAGGTCACACTTATTGAAGGAACAATAACTGTGTCACAACTTATCTTTTTAGCTGCTGATGGGAAGGTTTCTTTTGCCATAAATTGGAAGATGTATCCCAATATCAGAAACATTAAATGTAAGAAACATAGTATCATGGACTAGAGAAAATGTGGCAGTAATATATTTCAACTACCTAAATCTCAGCATGGCTTTACGGGCTTGGCTGGGTAGGTAACCACCCTTTACATTATTATGTCTATGCAGAAATATATTATGAACTCTAAATAACAGATTATAAATGATTTTTACCAAAAAATATGATTCCTTTATAGTTAAAGCACCATTGTTATTTTTACACTAATATTTAAAACCCATGTTATATAAAGCCGAAAGTTGGGCCTCATTTTCTAGTACACTGTCTCTTAAACTAAGAAAAAACCACTAAAGTTAGGTTGTATCTGTTCTTTCCTCAATTTAATAATTATACCTTTTTCTTGTCAGCTTCGTGGATCCCTTATTGCAATATGAAACTCAGCTGAAGATAGTAGAGTTGTCCTTCAAAATGGCATTTGCTATACCAAGTCTTGACAAAGTGAAAGAAATTGGGAAGAATGAGGATGACCAAGAGGACCTGGAGGTAAGACTTGCTTCCTTTAGTCATAATGAGACATCGTCATGCACCACAGCAATCCCACAGAAAGTCTGTCCAAAAGTTGTAATCTTTGTTTTCTCCTTCATTCTCTTTAGATATAATAGATAAACAGCATATTCTAGCACTAATCTCTATCCCTGGACTCCTTGTGAATTCTATAACCCATGGGATTTAAAGGATTGTATAGGATCTATAGGAACAAATGGGTGAAGAGATTTTGGTTAATTTGTTTGACAAAAACAGCAAGTTTACGGGCAAGTGTTGCAAAGAAGGAAACAGGAGCTAAGAAAAGTGGAGGTAGGAAGAATCCTGTAGTAAGATCAGCAACATCTGTGGTTTTTATTTCTCAGCATAGCTACACAGTTCACTTGCCCCGCAAGGTATTAAAGCAATTCATGGCATACAGTATTGAATGAGGTCTCATCTCCAGAGCTACCTCTCTCCTTTCTTACCTTCAGTTTATGGGGAGAACTCAGGACCCCAGGATGCAAAACTATAGGCGTTGGTGAAATTTTATCTAAGGCTGGCTGGCTGGTTGTGCAAATTTCTTGTTTTTCAGAATTTATACCGAACTATTTTAAACATATTTGAGGACACTCTTCTGATCTTAGTGTCTAAAGACCTCTACAAACTGCAAATCTTAAAGGTAAAGGGAAAATAAGTAGTCTCATTTTCTTGTCATAAATCTAAAGGGTATACTATATTTTACTTATTATTTACCATTTGCCATACTTAGATCTCCTTCAAGTATTTGGCAGCTGAAAATTTTTCTTTACCTTTCAGAATGTGCCATTATCTCCCAAATAAAATTACTTTCTTTTATTTGAATTACAGAGACACAATTTTAAGAAGCCAATTTTGGGAGAATGGCAACAGACACTTAAGAAGCCAAGGGTTATGTAGCAATGTAAGAGGAAACACAATACGGGGTAGCAGAACATACGATGACTGGCCTAAACCACCTTCAGGTCCACCTAACAATGAGCCATATTTTGATAATAGCTATATGCATGTTCTTCCCTAACAACCCTGGGCTAGGGAATCCCATGAGCATCCTATCTTCATGGACACCATAGTATCAAAGGAAGTTCTAATAACCAGCCATAACCCTACTTTTCACATCCAAGATTTCACTGTGTTTTTAATGTGCCAGGCAGAGACAGAGACTGATCTGGACATTTTATGACCTTTAATTTTGAATTTTTAACAAGATGGCATCAGGAGGAAGCTGTCTGAAAATACTGAGAAACTAGATTTACTTACTGTACCATGAGAATCATGGGATTTGCAAATCGTAAAATACATTCAAGGAAAGAAGCAGAACTGGTATATATGAAGATTAGGAGAAATGGGGGGGGGATAATAAAATATACTGAGGTAACTTGTGCCTAATTTTAGCCAAATATTTTCCATGCATTTAAAACATTTTAACCTCACAATCCTGTAAATTGGTTATTACCCCATTATTACAACCCTCTCCCCATGTGTGCTCTTTCTACCACCCTAGGCTGCTTATTGAGGATTTACTCTATGTCAGGCACTAAGCTGCATACTTAATATATGGGTTTTTTAATTTAATCCTTAAAATAACCCTATGAGAAAGTTAAAATTATTTCTCTCATTTGCAGATAAGGAAATGGAAGCAGAGAGAGGAGAAATAATATGTGTGCATCTAATGAGTAGAGGACCTACTCTAACTGGGGAGCCTGTTACTTAACCACCTTGTTCTTATACCTACCACATCTAGAAACTCCCCTGATCCTCAAAAAGAGTTGACCCTCACTCCTGGAAAAGGAATAGGCTGAGCCCCCTGAGATTTAGAGACTCTTCTGCCCTAGGAAACAAACTTCAGAACAGTTTTACACAATGGGAGCAAGAGAAGGGGATGAGATTTGGCCAACCATTGGCATAAATACTAAGAACTCCAACAATCTGTCTTAAGAAGTCTACTAATGGTGGTTAACATGTAAGCCATATGCAGTCTTCTTCCTTCCCCAAGGTTGTAAATATGTCCCTGCATCTGAGGATTTAGAACAAATAGGTAGAAGCTACAGCAAGACAGACCATATTTAGCAATGAATCAAAATTAGCAAGAACTTTCTCATCGAGCTGGCTCCAGGAATATACTCTAAACCATGAGTCAGAAGATATCTGGATGGTAAATTTACAGAGGCAATTCTGGGATAAAATGACATTTCAGGATCAAATAACATTTGATTCTTTTTTAAAACTGCAAATCAGATCTTATGGCTTTAAAAAAAGAGAGAATATGTATTTTGAAAGAAAAAGAGAAGGAGAAGCAGCTGGTGATAATCAGCCTCACAGCCTCATGTTAAACTTTTCATGATGCCTGGCAAAGTGACTGTTATAGTGGATATTAGTAAATACTTGTTGGATAGAATTAAATAAAATAAAACCCAGGTGTAGCTATATGGCAGATGAATATTATATGTCTTATGGGCATATGTCTTATTGGGCATATGTCTATTGGGCATATGTCTTATGGGCATATGTCTATTATATGTCTTATGGGCATAAGACCTAAATAGACAGTAATATACCAGCTTATTGTCATATTTTTAAAATAAATATAGGATAGGTGTGAAACCATTGGGAGGACATGGGGAACCTTGACTTGGTGAAGGTGGTGATCTGAAGAAAGGGACCTGTGGAAATGGAAACACCATGGCTCTAGGATAGTTCTTGTGTTTTCAACAGGAAATGGCTGTGTGGATGAGTGAAGATAATTTGTACATGCAGGAGAGAGCCATGGTGATCATCAGCAGAGTGCTAAGCTTTGCATCCAGGAAAGTCAAGGGATGTGTAAGTCACAGAGTAATCATGCCACGTGCTTCTGAAGACTGCATTTCTGCAGTGCTGCTTTCCAAGTCTTGGGTCTAGAGAGTGTTAGATGCCTGCTTTGTATTATCATACTAGTAGGTTTGGGATACTGGGAAAGGAATTAATATCCTACATGACTTTATGTCAGTTAGAGCAGAGTTTCTCAATTGATTAAGATGCCTCATGCTTTCCACAAACAGTATGAGTGTGTCAAAACCAGGCTTTTGATGACTCTCTGGATTCTCCTCTTTGGACCACAATCAATGTTATTTGTAAACTTATAAATTCTTTCATCCTTACTTTCCTTCTTATTTCTCTTTTTCCTAGAATATTTTTAAACCACCATTTATTTTAAATGTATAACAAGTAATTCTTGAGTACTTTCATTGTAAGACATGCTAAAGACATAGCAGAAGTCCTTCTTTACTATCCTCTCCATCCCAATCTCATCCCTAGCCACGTCTGTGTGATGTGTGTCCTGCCAAACAGCTACGTACACATACAAATATACATGCACACGGATATACATAGCTTTGTTACTTAGTTTTTCTTTACTAAAGTTACATCATATTTACATATGGTTCTGCAATTTGATTTTTTCACTGAACAGTATGCCCAACAGATACTTTAATAGATTTGCTTCATTATTTTCACTACAGCTTATATCTTATAGTGTTGATGTATTATGATCTACTTAACTATTCTTCAGTTGATGAACATTGAGGTATATTGTGGGTTTTTCTACTTCAAACAATACAAAAATGGTCATCCTTTTGCATGTATGTGAGTATGTACTTAGAAATGCTAAGAAAAATAATAGGCCAAAAAGTATGAATAGGTTAAAACTTAGTAATGCACAATCATCCTTCATTCTGCATTCCTGTGAATATTAGAGTGCCCATTTCCTCAACCTTCACAAACACCTGGATATTATCAGACTTTTTAATTGTTGCCTTTCAGATGGAGAACAAATAGGTATCTCATAATTGCCAATATTTACTGAGGTTTTCTATATTTTGAATAACATTATTGCCTGCCTTCTAAGAAGCCTCAGACTATCTCTGAACATTTTTCTCTCTTATGGATACTGTGTTTTCAGTCTCTGTTCCATAACTCACCCTTTACTGTGATTTTTAAACATACTCTACTAATTGTATATCTGATTGCTTAAATCAGTTCAGGAGTTCAGTATGAAGGGGGTCAGAAACATGCATTTGTGACACTATCTTCATGTATCCATTTCTAATACTTGTACAGTCTCTAGACATATTGAGACGAAAAGCCTAAATCAGCCTTATAACATAGTTGAATTTTTATTATTTTACTTAAAATAAACTTTGGGAGATAAACCCATGCACTTATGGTCACCTAATCTATGACAAAGGAAGCCAAAATATACAATGGAGCAAAGATACCCTCTTCAATAAGTGGTTCTGGGAAAACTGGACAGCCACATGTAAAAGAATGAAATGAGAACAGTCCCTAACACCACACACAAAAATAAACTCAAAATTGATTAAAGACCTAAATGTAAGGCCAGACACTATAAAACTCTTAGAGGAAAACATAGGCAGAACACTCTATGACATAAATCGCAGCAAGATCTTTTTTGACCCACCTCCTAGAGTAATGAGAATAAAAACCAAAATAAACAAATGGGACCTAATTAAACCTAAAAGCTTTTGCACAGCAAAGGAAACCATAAACAAGATTAGAAGACAACCCACAGAATGGGAGAAAATATTTGCCAACGAAGCAACTGACAAAGGATTAATCTCCAAAATATACAAACAGCTCATGCAGCTCAATATCAAAAAAAAACAAACAACTCAATCAAAAAATGGGCATAAGACCTAAATAGACATTTCTCCAAAGACATACAGATGGCCAACAAACACATGAAAAAATGCTCAACATCACTAATCATTAGAAAAATGCAGATCAAAACTACAATGAGGTATCACCTCACACAGATTACAATGGCCATGATCAAAAAAATCTAGAAACAATAAATGCTGGAGAGGGTGTGGAGAAAAGAGAAACCTCAGGCACTGTTGGAGGGAATGTAAATTGATACAGCCACTATGGAGAACAGTATGGAGATTCCTTAAAAAACTAAAAATAGAACTACCGTATGATCCAGCAATCCCACTACTGGGCATTTACCCAGAGAAAACCATAATTCAAAAAGTCACATGCACCCCAATGTTCACTGCAGCACTATTTACAATAGCCAGGACATGGAAGCAACCTAAATGTCCATCAACGGAGGAATGGATAAAGAAGATGTGGTATATATATATACAATGGAATGTTACTCAGCCATAAAAAGGATTGAATTTGTGTTATTTGTAGAGACATGGATGGACCTAGAGACTGTCATACAGAGTGAAGTAAGTCAGAAAGAGAAAAACAAATATCATATATTAACACGTATATGTGGAATCTGAAAAAAAAAAGCAGAAATAGAGACACAGATGTAGAGAACAAATGTACGGATTCCAAAGGGGAAAGGGGGGTGGGATGAATTGGGAGACTGAGATTGACATATATACACTATTTATACTATGTATAAAATACATAACTAATGAGAACCTACTACATAGCACAGGGAACTCTACTCAGTGCTCTGTGGTGACCTAAATGAGAAGGAAATCCAAAAAAGAGGGGATAATTGTATACATATAGCTGATTCACTTTGCTGTACAGCATAAACTAACACAATATTGTAAAACAACTACACTCCAATAAAAATTTAAAAAAAGAAAGTGAGAAAAAGCCAAAAACTACATAAATAAAATAAGCTTTGGAACATAATACAATTTACTTACATGGAAAATACAGTCCATGATGTTCTTTGCATCATGCTAATTCCCCATCTCAGTGTCCAAAAGAGAGACTGAGTGGCTTGTTTTAAATATTCTGATTCTTTGGCCTGGGAAGTCAGTCTCCCTCTATTTCTGAGATGGTTTGGAATGTCCATTCAAATGGACACAAAATTTTGCAAGTGAGGCTAGAGATTAAGTGTAGTTCAACACTCCAGTCTGTTTTCTGTATAGTTCCTAACATGTTTTATATATTCAGCAAGCATTTGATGGAGACTATTCACACGCTTCTCTTTGCACTTCAATACACATATACATTTTCTATTTATATATCTAGTGTATATTTATATACTAGATATATACTATATGTGTGTATAAATATATATATATCTACTAGTGAGTTCCACTCAGGTAGCAGGTATGACATCTGGGGGTTTCATCTTCTGCTATCACCTCTACTCTCTTTCAATTACAGTTGTAAAGTTCATTCTCCCCAGCACATAGCCCACCCTTCAACTGTGAAACAATAAATGTGTAAATTCATATGTACAGCAGAAGGCTCTCATAAATCGTTGAGGGCTCCTAAGCTTTAACTGAGACCTTTGAGAAGCCAAGCGGTTAACGTATTCCTCTGTTCTGCAATGCTTGCTGAATGCCACCAGGTGGAAGCACACCAGCATTTTCCAGAAGGTGGGAACTAAGATAGCCTCAACGGGCTTATATCACAGTCATGGAAGCATAAACCTTTACTAAGTTAATTTTCTCTTTAAAATAAGATAATTATCTTATAAAGATAAAGATAAGATAATTATCTTCTGAAGATAATTAAGTCAGTGAAATTAATGGAGATGGGGGAACAAATACATAAAACAATCAAAAATATTATTAATAAATTAAAAGCTAAACTACCCACAGGCAAGGTCTGTGTATCTCTATATCTGACACATTGTAAATAATAAATGAAGATTTGTTCTGCCATTCTCTAACTAAACGTAGCTACCTATTCTGTTCTCAGGTTCTGGCCATTCACTGGATAAAAACTATTTTCTTCATAAATTACCCTAGCCTATGTCTCCCAGACTCTCAGAGGCCCTTGTCCTATTGTACAATACTTTCATTTGTATTCTACCAGAATTTAAAGTGGTATTCCTCTTATATGACCTGTGTGCCTATCAGAATGAAGAAACTGCTACACTCAAAGAATATTTGTCCTTTCAATTAAACTGTTAATTTCCAAACAGGTGAAGAAATGTGAGCTAAACATGTCATATTATCTCATTAACAGATTTTTCCCAGGTTTGTTCCTTTGGCACATCAGCATTTAAAAGACAGGTGGGGGCTTCCCTGGTGGCGCAGTGGTTGAGAGTCCGCCTGCCGATGCAGGGAACGTGGGTTCGTGCCCTGGTCCATGGAAGATCCCACATGCCGCGGAGCGGCTGGGCCCGTGAGCCATGGCCGCTGAGCCTGTGCGTCCGGAGCCTGTGCTCCACAACGGGAGAGACCACAATAGTGAGAGGCCCACGTACTACAAAAAAAAAAAAAAAAAAAAAGACAGGTGGAAGGTTTCCAGTCAAAGCTAACAGATTGTCCACATGTCTATCTCCTCCCCCTCCACAAAATGACAGTAATAAAATTTGTTAAATGTTGCCATTGCAACAAAGAGAATTAGTAACAGGTTCTCAGTGGGCTAGTGATGTCAGCAAACTTCCGCATGACAGAACAGATAGAAGATGGTAACTGATAAAGTCTGGCAGGGGAAGCTGAAAGGCAGGGGCATGTGAACATTAGAATGGAGGACAGCTGAAAAGGGAGGGAGTATTCCTATGGAACCCTGAAGAGTCTGGAGCTATGGAAGCCCAAGTAACGATGAAGAGTGGGAGGCAAAGGAAAGCTGAAGACATACACATGCACCGAAAAGACTCATAGAAAGTTTATACAGAAGGATCTATAGTGCCTCCCATCCCCGTTTACACACACACTCTATATTCCACAGGGACATGAGTCCATTGGTAGGTAAAATTTGAGGACATTTTTCTCAAAACAATTGTAAATTCCGTGAAACGATCATCTTGGTTCTGTTGTTTAGATACACTTCAGCATGATCCCAGCCTACCCACCCAACTACTCTAAAGCCAAGCCCACCAGTTGACAAGCCTTGGTCAAAATCCCACCAGTGGAATCACGTTCTTACATACGACTAGACAACCAAGAATTTGCCAGACATTTGAGAAAACCCTCCAAATACAAACACAAAAGAGATAGCCCCAAAACCCTCCAAATACAAGAGATAGCCCCAGGTAAATAAAGAGAACAAAAATGATTATCAAAAATAGATAATTCTGAGTACAGATGAGAATTTAGTCTCAAAAGGAGTAGAGAGGACATATTTATATGCCAAAAGGAAATATAACTAAAAATGAGTATGGCCTATGCACTGATTCATCACAGCAGGAATAGATAGGCAATGTCCCGAAGTGATTTTAGAACTGAAGTAGAAGTCCATTGTTTAGAGATGTATAGTTGATTTCCAAAAGCAGCAGCTAAAAAACTTAGAAGTGGTTGCTTCTGGAATTTAGCACCTAAAACTGTCATAATTGTTAAGATAAGGAACTGGAGAGGCCAGATGTACACAGAAGAAGGAATCCAGTAAGAAAGGGCCAGAAAACTAAGCAGGCACTTAGACTTAGGAACAAATACAGAGAAGTTACTTTTCTCCAGGTCTTAACTCTTTCCTTCTTTCAGCACTTTAGATAGATTTTCTAAAAAAGCAGGACTATACTGTATTAATGTTCCCAAAGTCTTGTGTTTGAGGGGGTGTGACTTGGTTGGCACACTTCTGAAGGGACTGTGCAGGGCATCATCAGTGTGCCCCATGGTTCACACAGCTTTATTCCTCTCTTGGCCTGTCCTAGGTCAGGTCTCCCCTCCTCCTCAAACACGCTATGCAATCTAGACATGGCCACACCTACTCTGCTAGAGACACACATCTAGACAGACCATATTTGGCATCATTAGCAGCTTCCTTTACAAAGACACCTGCTAAGAGTTACACATCCACAAGTTCATGAGAAGGAATAATCAGAGAGAACGCGCAAGGCAAAAACTATAACACAATAAAACTTTAAAACCAATCCTCTGTAAATGGTCCCCAGGTTCAGTGAGCTAAGCTGTGAGAAGTACTACCCTGGTTCTAGGTACTTTCGCTATAAAGGTCTTTGCCATAGACATCTTTGTAGCATAACGAATTGGCCATAAGGCAATTTTTTCATAAAAGATAAAATAACGAAAAATAAAAGAGGGACGTTATAAAGGTCATAATGAAACATGAAAAATTAATAACAAAATTTAAAAGGCTTTCTTGAGAAATACAATTTAAATATTTACATACAATTTAAATATATTTAAATTGTGTGTAAATTCGTGGCAATCCTGCCAAATAACTGATTTTATTTTGTGGGTTGTACTTAAGCACTTGTCTTTGAAGTCTCTCATTCATAGTACGTGTTTTGCTTTTTGATTCATCTCCTCATTCAGCACGATAGTTTTTCTTTTTTGCTAAAATTTCTTCCTTCATTTCATCCTTCATTCCAAGTATCAGGATGCATATTTCTAACTGAGCTTTGTATTGCATTATAAAAACCTCTGCACTGTTTTTTGTTCTTGGCATCTTGCCACATGTCTGTTCATAGATGTTCCAAAGTTCTACGGGAAATGTGGGTTCAACTCTGCACCTCTGAGACCCTTAGCCTCTTTCTCCTCCAATGTAGTGTGCTTCAAGATAAGAAACCAACTCTTGGGGCAAATCATTGTCATCTCTCAGCTCAATAAAGCCACCAATAAAATGGCTAACTGAAAGAAAGTCTAACTCATTTCAACCAGTTGAAACCAAAGTGTCAAACCAAGCAGCCTACTAGTTATTTTATCTTTCACAGCAAAATTGCCTTACAGACAATTAGTCATGTATTAAAAGGGTTTGCGGCAAAAATGCTCGTGGCAAAGATGTTTATGGCAGAGAAGCTTGTGGCAAAGTACTGGACACATACTCATACTCCTCCATCATGCCCAACAGAGAAACAGAACACCTTCCCCTTTTTTCTTAAACCCATAATGCAAAGGTGGTTCTTAAAATCTTGCCATTTGATAGAAAAAGAAATTTGGAATGCAAACCAAAAGAAGAGAATAGCCAGGGGAAAATAAAATACTTCTTCCTAGGGCCTAGAATAAATAGCAACCCCTACTGTCTGCTTCTAGATTCTTCTAAGTCATAGGACTCCTAAAATAGGGGGAGCCGCAGGTACCCTTACAAAGAAATATAGGCAGAAAGAATCCAAGGAAGACATCCACAGAAGCAGATTATCTTCCCTTCGTTTACTAAGACTATCACTCCCAACATCCTAATTCAGTCATATCCTTGGCCCATGACCTAGTTCACCTCACATTCTTCTTCAGGAATGATTTTGTGTGTGTGTGTGTGTGTGTGTGTGTGTGTGTAAGACTGAGACAGGCAGACAGACAGAGAGACGTGAGTGGGTCAAGCAACAAGAGACGCAAGGATAAGGGTATATAAGAGTAATACAAAGAAGGAGAAACAGGTCTTGGGATCTCCCTGGAAGGTTGACTTGAACTCTAACTTTTACCACCAAAGCATCTATCTAGGAAAAGTAATCATTTGTCTTAGAGATAAGAAGATTCTGCAGGCCTACTAGTTTAGCAAACCTACATGTGGGAAGAGTCCTTTTTGTTTAAAGAAAATTGATAATAATTCTCACATCTTCACAAAAGCAAAGTATCTCTTCCATCTCTCCTTTCTTCTTTTATGTGTCTACTCCTCTCTATTTGCATTTTATCTGGCTAAACAAATCAGTCAAGATAAAAACCTAAATATTTGAGAAGCCTATGTGTCAAGGAAGTTGTGTGTGTGTAGGGGGGGAATATATAAATGTTCTGGCAGTAGGTTTGATACCAGAAGCAAATGCTTTGAGTTTTTTAAAAAATTAATTTCCCTGGGAAGAATCAGAGCAATTCTCAGAAGAAAAGTGTTCTCCAGTGACTTACAGAGTCACGTAAAGTGTTTCATACGTGGAGAAGGAAGCATGAAAGTTTCTGGATATTGACTCCCCCACCCCAGTATCCTAAGAATTTGATACCTACAAATAGCTACCTAAAATATGGACTAGAAACTAACGTTAGTTGAGTCTCTATTATTGCCAAGCACTTTGCTAGGAACTTTCTTTTTTGTCATAAATGCTACCCCCTTAGTTCCTACAATAACTGTTACAAGGTAACACTTGTTATATGCATTTCATAGATGAGAAAATTGAGGCTCAGTAACGGAGTGAGGATTTTAATACAGATTTTGCGAACTCTGAAGCTCAACTCTAACCGTAGTCTGATATATACATCAGACACAAACATTTAATGTTGACCGTGCATAGCAAATACATTTTTCTACTTTGTTTTTTCACTAGACAAGTGTTGATGTTCCATGTTTGGGTGTCCTGGCAGCAGAACTGTCTCTTTTGTGTTCCCATGCTGATCCCTCGATCACACAACAAGCATCCTTGGGAATGTATCACCTCCTCTGCATTGCAAAGTGTCAGAATGGTAAGAACGATTCATCTTTTCTAAGGGTTACTAATAATCTGTTCCTAATTATTATACTTGTGGGTCCCAAGGGGGCTCTACATCTGTAGATTTCAAAATCCTGCCCCAAGATCTATAGCTTCACTTTTTAAAATGTATTTTTAAATCTTTTTTAGAATTATTTTTATAATGTTATAGTTGGTTCTTCAATGTCTATAACATACTATATTTAGTGTTGGGTGTTAATGGTGGGAACAGGAATGCTGGGTGGAGGCAGGGAAGAGAGGAAGAAAAATTACCAATGGGACTTTCTAAAAAGAGGCTTACTTTTTCTCTGTAATGGAGTATCAAATAGAATACTCAGATTCTTGCTTCAATGGTGGGGAAAAATTAGCCCAAGACCTAAATAAATGCTGCTCTGGTCTGCCTAACAAAGCATAAGAGCAAGACCTTATGGTATCAAACTATTTCCAAATACTTTAACAGAGAATAGATTTACTGTCCCATAATAAACAACTATTTAAAGATTATATATACTAATTGTTCTCAAGTCACTGGACATCAGATAACAAAGGACAATGATTCCTAATGAGATGGGAACAAATGAACAAATAAGGCAGAGTCTACAACTGACTGAGTTTACAACCTAGAGTAAGTTTCTAGGCTGCAGCCCAGAAAGGAGTAACCCAAGAGTCTCACCAAGTTGAAGAGACAGAATTGGGAATCCAGATAGATCAAGATATTTAGAGTTCACAGGGCAAAGCGCCAGAAAGGAGTGCACAAAGAGAGAGCTCCAGAGATGTGCAGAGAGCCCTTTAACTATTTGGCTATGTAAGGATCAGAGCACACATGTGAGGAAACTACCTGAGGCTTGCAGGGGAGAGGGTGGGGGTAACACCCAAAATGGTTAAAGGATCCACTGAATCCCAAAAGACTGGAAATGGTGCCTATGCCTATAAGCTAGAATTTAAAACTTCATAATTCATAAGTAATGCAGCAGAGTACAAAGAGATTTTGTCTCATCAAGAGGAAAAAATTATCCCTGAATTATTTTAGTGCCACCTAACAAAAGTTAAAAACAAGACCTAAAATTATCAACTGATCTCCAAATACTTTAATTGTTTATCAGAAAAAGCTCAAGCTTACTTCTAGGAATACAAAAATTCCATCACTTAACAAGTTAAAATGAACAGTTTGGACAAGTTAAAATTAACAATGTCTGACATGCAATAAAAAATTACTAGGCATGCAAAGAAACAAAATACAACCCACAATAAAAAGCAGAATGAATAAAAACTGACCCAGAAATAACACAGATGATAGAATTAGTAGAGACATTAAAACAATTATTATAACATATTCCATTTAGTTAAGGAGTTAGAGAAAAAGATGAACATGTTAATGAGAGACAAAGAAAAGTCTCTAAAAGACCCAAATTAAACCTCAGGAGATGAAAACTACAATACCTGAGCTGAAAAACACTCTGGCAGGGATTAATGGTATAATCTTTTTTATTGAGGTATAGTTGACTTACAATATACACAATATACATTTACAATAGGTGTACAGCATAATGATTCAGTATTTATACAGGTTTTACTCCATTAAAAGTTATTAGAAGATAATGGCTATAATTCCTTGTGCTGTTAATATTTCCTTGTTGTTTATCTCTTTTATACATAGTAGTTTGTATCTCTTAATCCCATATGCCTAATTTGCCCATCCCCTCTTCCTTCTCCACTTTGGTAACCACTAGTTTATTTTCTATATCTGTGAGTCTGTTTCCATTTTGCATATACATTCATTTGCATTTTTTAATTTTTTAGATTCCACATATAAGTGATATCATATGGTATTTGTCTCCCTCTGTCTGTCTGACTTATTTCATTAAGCATTAATATTCTCTAGGTCCATCCATGTTGCTGAAAATGGCAGAATTTCATTCTTTTTTATGGATGAGTTTTATATATCTAGATAGATAGAAGATATATCACATCTTCTTTATACATTCAACTGTTTATGGGCACTTGGGTTGCTTCCATTTCTTGGCTATTGTAAACAGTGCTGCTATAAACATAGGAATGCATGTATTTTTTCAAATTAGTGTTTTCATTTTTTCTTCATTTTACTTTACTGGCTATATACCCAGGAGTGGAATTGCTGGATCATATGGTAGTTCTATTTTTAGTTTTTTGAGGAACATCCACATGTTTTCCATAGTGGATGCACCAATTTACATTCCCACCAACACTGTGCAAAGGTTTCCTTTTCTCCATACTCTCGCCAACATTTGTTATTTGTAGACATTTTCATGATAGCCATTCTGACAGGTGTGAGGTGATATCTTATTGTTTTTTTGACTTGTATTTCTCTAATAATTAGTGATGCTGAGAATCTTTTCATGTGCAACAGTGTAATCTTAAAAGGAGCTGGGGCTGGGAGGGGGGAACATTTCATTCAGAGTAAAGGTAAGGTAAGGATTATAGCAAATTTCTCATGAGACAATGCAAGCTATAGGCAATGAAGCAACCTCATAATGTACTGAAAGAAAAAGCTGTCAATCTAGAATTCTTTAACCAGCAGAAGTGGTACTCTTTCAAAAGCAAAAGTGAAATAAAGACTTTTTAGATATACAAGAGCTGGTAGAATTTATCACTAGCATATCTGCAGTATGAAAAATATTTTATGAAATTATTCAAGAAAAAAATGATGTCAGATGATAATCTAGGTCTACATAAAGGAATAAGGAGCATTGGATTGCAACTATGAAGGAAAATATTAAAATTTTCTTCCCTACTTTTTAAATCTCTTTAAATGAGAATCAACTATTTAAAGCAAACAAACAAACAAAAACAATGTAAGAGCTAAATATGTGACAACAATATCACAGAGTCTTGAAAGAGCATGAAATATGAGGTTCTTATCCATAAATTCATAAAATATCACTTCAAAGTAAACTGTGATAAGTTAGATGTATAATATAAATCCTAAAGGAACTACTTAGCTAATATAACGAAGAGTTTTATATAATAAGCCAAAATGGAGATAAAATAGAATCATAAAAAATACTTAATAAAAAAAAGACAAAAAAAGAAGAAAAATATAAAGAAAAACAGATGGAAAGCAAAAAGTAAAATGAAGACTTAAATCCACTCATAATATATATAAATGCTCTAAATATCTCCAATGAAAAGGCAGAGATTATCACACTGGATAAAGAGCAAGACTCAACTATATACTGCCTATGAGAAATCTACCTTAAATGTAAAGACACAAATAGAATACAAGTTAAAAGTTGGAAAATGATATAACATGCTAACACTAGTCAAAAGAAAGCTGAAATGACTATATCAATATAAAAAAAATACACACATTTCAGAGCAAAGAATGTTTCCAGGGAAAAAGAGGGTCATTTCATAATGCTAAAGGGGTCAATTAATTAAGAAGACATAATCCAAAACATTTATGTACTTGAAAACAAAACATATTAAAATAATCAAAATACATTAAACAAAAGCTGATAGGACTACTATGAGAAATAGATCTACAATTACAATCAGAGAATTCAATACCACTTTTTCAATAAACTATTACACAAAAAATCAATAAGGATACAGACCTGAACCAGCTAGATCTAACTGACATTTATAGAACACTCTACCAAAAATGGAAAAATAAACATTCTGTTCAAGAAAAAAACAGAAAATTTACCAAAATAAACCATATTATAGACCATAAGACAAGCTTCAAGAAATCAACAGGTAGTTAAGTCATACAAAATATGACGAAAACAGAGTTAAATTAGAAATCAAAAACAGAATTAACACCATACAGAAAAATAAACTCAAAACAGATTAAAGACCTAAATGTAAGACCAGATACTATAAAGCTCTTAGAGGAAAACATAGGCAGAATACCCTTTGACATAAATCGCAGCAATATCTTTTATAATCTGTCTCCTATAGTAATAGATATAAAAACAAAAATAAACAAATGGGACCTAATTAAACTTAAAATCTTTTGTACAGCAAAGGAAACCATAAACAAAACAAAAAGACAACTCACAGAATGGAAGAAAATATTTGCAAACAATGCGAATGACAAGGGATTAATCTCAAAATTTATAAACAGCTCATGCAGCTCAATATCAAAGAAAACAAACGACCCAATCAAAAAATAGGCAAAAGACAATACAGATGGCCAACAGGCATATGAAAAGATGCTCAACATCACTAATTATTAGAGAAATGGAAATCAAAACTACAATGAGATATCACCTCACACCACTCAGAATGGCCATCATCAAAAAATCTACAAATAATAAATGCTGGAGAGAGTGTGAAGAATAGGGAACCCTCCTACACTGTTGCTGGGAATGTAGATCGGTACAGCCACTGTGGAGAACAATATGGAGGTTCCTTAAAAAACTAAAAATAGAGCTACCATATGATCCAGCAATCCCACTCCTGGGCACGTATCTGGAGAAAACCATGATTTGAAAGGATACATGCATCCCAATGTTCATTTCAGTGCTGTTTATAATAGTCAAGACATGGAAGCAACCTAAATGTCCATCAACAGATGAATGGATAAAGAAGATGTGGTACATATATACAATGGAATATCGTCCATTAAAAAGAATGAAATAATGCCATTTGCAGCAACATGGATGGACATAGAGATTGTCATACTAAGTGAAGTAAGACAGAGAAAGACAAATATCATATGATATCACTTGTATGCAGAATCTAAGAAAAAAATGATACACAAATGAACTTATTTACAAAACAGAAACAGATTCACAGACTTAGAGAATGAACTTATGGTTACCAGTGGGGAAGGGTGGGGAGGAAGGATAGATTGGGAGTTTGGGATTGACATATACACATTGCTATATTTAAAATAGTCAACAAGGACCTACTGCATAGCACAGGGAGCTCTGTTCAATATTCTGTAATAAACTAAATGGGAAAAGAACTTGAAAAAGAATAGATACTTGTATATGTATAATTGAATCACTTTCCTGTACACCTGAAACTAACAAAAGATCGTAAATCAACTATACGCCAATGTAAAATAAAATTTTTTTAGATTTTAAACAAGTTAAAAATAAATAGAAGTGGGGAAAGGATTTATTCAAGTTAAACTTTTATCAACTTTTTAATAAATGGAAACTCTGGAGATAAATTTTTAAATTTTAAAAGAAAAAAGATATCTGAAAGTTCAAAATATCTGGAAGCTAGATAACCTGTTTCTAAATAACAAATGTGTCAAAAAAAGAAATAAGGGATATTTAAAGCATTTTGAACTACATGAAAATGGAAATATAAAATTTCAAAATTTATGGAATACAGCTAAACAAGATTCCAGAGGGGAAATTCTTAGCACCATATGCCTACATTAGAATAGAGAAAAGTTCTTAAATCAATGACCTTAGCTTCTGCCTTAAGAAAGTAGAGAAAGAAAAGCAAATAAAACCAGAAGTAAGAAGATGAGAGGAAATAATAAAGACCAGAACAAAAACCAATAAAACTAGAAAGCGGAAAAACCTTAAGGGAAAGCAATGAAGCCAAAAGCAAATTCTCTGAGAAGATCAGGGGAGAAATAAGAGAAAAGACACAAATTACCAATATAAGGAATGAGAGAAATAATATCACTAAAGATTCTATGGGTATTAACAGAATAAAAAGTGACATTATGAACAACTTTAGGCCAATAAATTTGACAAGTTAAGCAGACAAATTTATTGAAAGACACAAATTACCAAAGCTCACTCAAAAAGAAATAATCTGAATATTCTGTATCTAGCAAAGAAGTTGAGTTTGTAGTTTAAATCTTCTGCAAAGAAAAGTCCAGATCCACAGAGAAAACTCCAGACTGAAATGACCTATCAAACATTTATGAAAGAAATTATACTAATTCTATACAAATTCTTCCAGAAATGTGAGGATGAGGGAATACTTGCCAACTCATTCTATGAGGCTGGCATTATTCCAAAACCAAAATCACACAAAGACATTACAAGAAAAATAAAAACAAAAAACTACAGACCAATGTCCCTCAAGAACACTGATGAAAAAATTTAATCAAGCTCAGCAAATCAAACAGTACACTAAATAAAAAGAATAATATACCATGGCTATGTGGAATTTATCCAGAAGTGCAATGTCAATTTAACCTTTTGAAAATCAACCAATGTAACATACCACATCAACAGATGAAAAAAATAACCATATGATTATTTCAGTAGATACAGAAAAAGTACTTGACAAAATTCAACATCCATTCCTAATAAAAACTCTCAGAAAATTAGGAATAGAAAGGAAACTTCTTCTATCTGCTAAAATACATCTATGAAAAATCTACACCTAACATCATACTTAATGGTGGAATACTGAATGATTTCCCCAAAAGACCTGGAAAAAGACAAGGATGTGCACTCTCATTAGTTCTGTTCAACAATGCTTTGGATAGAATAGAATAAAGAGTCCAGAAATAGATCCACACACGTATGGTCAACTGATTTTCGACAAAGGTTCAAAGGCAATTCAGTGGAGAAGGGATAAACTTCAATAAACATTGTTGGAAAAATTGGTGATTTGTATGCAAAAAAAGAACTTTGATATATATCTCATAAATGCATAAAAGCTAATTCAAAATGGATCATAGGACTACACGTAAAACCTAAAACTATGAAACTAGAAAAAATCTTTGTACCTTGGATTAGGCAAAGATTTCTTAAATATAACACGAAAAGCATGACCCATAAATGAAAAAAAAATGATAAATTAAGTACCTCTGCTCTTTGAAAGACACTTAAGAGATAAGCCACAGACAGTGAGAAAATATTTGCAAATTACATATCTGATAGAAGAATTGCATTCATTATTTTAAAGGAACACTCAAAACTCAGTAAAAAAAAAAAGCAAGCAACCAAATTAAAATAATAATAGTAGATTTGAGTAGTCATTTCACTAAAGCAGCACAGATGGCAAGGATGCACATCAAAGGATGATCAATATACAGTCATAAAAGAAAGGTAAATTAAAACTGCAATGAGACACCACTGTACTCCAGTTAAAATGTCTAAAATTGAAAAGACTGACCATACAATGCGTTATTAAAGGTGTGAAGCAACTGGAACTTTCATACATTGCTAGAGGGAATGTGAAGTGATACAACAGCTTTGGAAAATAATTTGGCAGTATCCTAAAAAGTCAAACACACATCTACCATATGATCCAGTCATTCCACAGCTTAGTGTTTACCTAAGAGAAATGAAAGCAAATATCCATTCAAAGACTTGTACATGAATGTTGATAGCACCTTTATTTGTAATAGCCCAAAACTGGAAACAACCCAAATGTCTACCAAAAGGTGAATGAATAAGCAGATGATGGTGTATATGTACAGTGGAATAGTATCCATCACTACGACTACTGATACAAGAAAAAACATGGATGGATTGCAAATAATTTTGCTAAATGAAAGATTCCAAACAACAAAAGAGTATATACTAAATGGTTCCACTTATATAAAACTGGAAAATACAAACTTGACAGAATGTAGATCAGTGCCTGCCTTTGAATCGGGGAGTGGGATCTGGGAGCAGGTTTGATCAATTACAAAAGGACATGAGGAAACTTTTGGAGGGAATAAATCTTTTTTTATTGCAGTGATGTTTATGGGCACATACATATATATTAACTTACCAAATTAGACACTTTAACTATGTTGCATATTGGTTATATCTCTATAAAGCTGTTAGCAAACAAGCAAAGTCATTTAAAACCTACCTTCTCTAGAACAAAAGACATCTGCACCTGAAGCTTATGTTGAGGGCTTTTCTCTTTCTTGCTGTATCACTCCCCTAGCTCTTTGCAAAATGCCTCCAAGTCTGCTCTTTTACCAATAGACACCCCAACTTAGCAGTAGCTCTTCCATTGCACTGAACAATGCATTTGATGGCCTAAATGTACTTGATATTTGGTCAACTTATTAAAATTATCTATGTCCTTTATTCATATTTCAAAGAGGCCTCTCTTAAACACTTTTTTTTTTTTTTTTTTTTATCTTAAACACTTTTTAAACTCTGGGTCAATGTAGTCATAGTATTTTATGTGACTAAACTGTTAGCAGAGAGTTAAACATTCAGAAACTTTAGACTTCCAGAATTGGGCAGGAAGAGGAAATTGGAAATAGCAATGTTATAGAGGAACCAGTGATCAAATAAAAACCTTAAACTCTTTTCCTTAATACAGCGGATATTGCAAAAAATAAAAGTACAAAGTATGATAAGCCTGGAAGTCATTGCTTCCTGCCTTCTCCCTCTGATATAGAATTTCTACCCAAGATCTTGCAAAGAGACAAAAGTAAAATTGCTCAGGTAACTTAGCCCCCACTTTATCCTATGGCTTTTGTTTCATGTGTATTATTACTTTTAGTGGTAACTTATTTCAACAAAATTTATATTTTTAATAGATTTTTTCTGTTTTATTTAAATTCAGTAAAGCAAAGAGTAAATGATAGAGTATTTGGCTTCCTGATTTTCATCTCTATTAATGAGAATTATGCCTATTATTCCAGAATATAACAATTTATATTATTTTACCTAATCCTTACAGAATGCAAATGAGATAGGTGTTTCCTAGTTGTTATGCTTCTTATTGTTTGGCTAATAAGTTATTAAAGATGGGAAACTTCTGATTTTCTAGCAAAATTAATGAAGTCAACAATTAACAGCCTTTTCAATGTTATTATAATTTATTCAGCAAACATCAAAATAATGCGATTTACATTTTAAAAACCTCTTAAATTTAAATTTTTTTAAAAGTTCAAGTGATAAACCTCAGGACCAAGTAAATAATTTTTACACTGACCCAACCTTTGGGGAAAATCATGAGGCTCTATAACTGTATACATTCCCTCACCTTCTTCAAAGTATATGGGCTTATTCATATGCTTGAGAGGTCACTGGCGCCTAAGTTGTGCTGTCCAACAGATGGCTGTCTAGGTACACACATTGAGTCAACAGTTCAGCAAAGCCTGCTGGGGAGGCTCTTCAGGCTAGCTCATCTCTTGAGTTGGGAGGGTCTTATGGCTCCTCCTAAAGGTACATGCATAAAGCAGTGCCTTGCCCTCCCATGGCTGAGGTAGATAGAACTGTGGGAGGCTGAGGAGATATGAAAACAATATACCTCAAATAATACAATCAAAAATACCACATAGATATCCTATATATGCATCTTCATGATGATGCATCTTTCCAAAATCAAGCATTATTCATAATCCACCTCCCCTCAAAAGTCACAAACCTGGCTGACTACAAAGTTGTCTATTTAAGTGAAGAAACCAGGCATCTGTAGAGGTTTACTAGAAAATCCTTTCACATCCTTCCATGCTTCACTCCAGAGCCCTGGAACTGAACTCCTGAGCCCCACAACTAGGCTAGTTAGCCTAAGACTGGCAGCTTCCTCAGGGTCTCTTCCAAGTGATTCATGGGTCTTACTATCTCCACTTCCAGTTTAGCATCCTCTCTTTTCTGAGTTTAATGTCCATCAGATTTATAAATCCTTGGATTTGGGGGAGAGTGTCCTGGGTCCTATGTTCATGACCTCTGATTCAGTTCTCAATTGTGAGATCAAAGCAGGCCTAGTACTAGCACTGTGTGCAAGAGTGGTAGCTGGAAAATCCTGAGGTAGGTACTTTCAGAGGTAGATTGGGACAAATGGGTGAGAGAATCTAAGGTTGTAGTAAGGAAACCAAGAGGACCATATCCAAAGACAAAGTCCTAAGGATGCAAATAGGAGGAAAAGCATCAAGGTTTTTAGCCAAGAGAGCTAGATCACATTTTATAAAGGGAGCCCTATCATTTGATACTCTACTGTCATATCTATACCTTTGTTACTGAGTCCAAACTCATACTGTTCGCTGCACAATAGACCAATAAATCAAAAGACAAGGTGTTAGGGCAAGAAATAGTGACTTTATTTGAAAAGCCAGCAGACCAAGAAGATGGTGGACTAGTGTCCCAAAGAACCATCTTACCCGAGTTAGAATTCAGGCTTCTTTTACATTAAAAGGGGAGGGGAGGTGTGACTGGTTGCTACAAACTAACTGGTGCTGAAATCCTTTGTTCTTGCAGCTGTCCAGATAGGTCTGGTAACAATGTTCCCGTAAACCTCCAACAAGACAACTATAATTTTCTATTCTGCACTTTTTATCTCTATATGAATGGAAACGTGTTATACATTTAAAGGTCAAGCCTGGGAGGCAGAATATTGAGAAAGGGTTAGTATGTATATTCCAGGCTATAGGCCACATTCTCTTACTGTTTGAGACAAAGGTGCAAAGCTAGCATGACTAAGCACAGGCAATGGAGCACAAAGGCTAGAGCTGAAGGAATAGATCCAATATGGAGTCAGGTTTGTTCTTCTTTGTTCAACCTTGACATACCAGAAACCTCTAACACTATCTCTACGTTTCACTAGGAATTGCTCCTTCTACAACATTTTAATAGACACCAAACTAAAATATTTTGTTGAATAAAAAAATATGCAAAAGAGAATATTCCCTCTTCCAATGATTTTTTAAAATTCAACATCTTATATAATTAAATCTGGCTTTCTCAAAGTAGAGCAAACTATTTATAATATTCAGTTCACCTCACCAAGCCTTAGTGACCCTCCTTTATCCATCTTTCATAGCTTTCCAAAAATACTATCCCTCACCCCTCTGTCCAGTAGGAGGGAGCCTGGTGGTCATCAATTTTCACTCAGACCTCAGTCCTTCCCTATTGACCAGAAAGAGCTATGCTCAATTCCTTTAATCGGGATGGAGAAAAGCTTTTATTAGCAATATTGAGTACTTTCTGTATTTTAGAGAATGGCACACACACACACACACACACACACACACACACACACACATAAAGGAAAATTTTGAATATATATTTTTTGAATATATATATATATATATACACACACACACATATACAAAAGGAGGAAATGTGGTTCATTCATCTTTCTTAATTGAGAGATCCATAATATTGTGATTTTTTTCACATTTTATGGCCCATGGATATTCCTCTAACTTCAAAAAGAGATTGTTTGAATTGTAGTTGTTCTACCTCAATCGTGGACATATGGGCCTTTTTTTCTCTTCCCACTTCTTGATACTTCTCTGAGAAAAAGTCCACACCTCTGAATGACCCTGCCTTTCTTACCCCATCCTTTCCTTCATCTTCTACAAATCATGCTTGTTTCTGATCTGAGCAAATTCATTTCCAAAGCTGAAGTTCACAATAATTTCTAGTATTTGAATAGCTGAAATGGGATAAAATCAATATTTTATGGTTCTTCTGAATTGCAATGCCATGATTTTCCACTTCTCCCTGGCTTGCCCCCAGAGCTGACTTATTCAGATAAAAATGTTTTAATTGCTTTAAAAATCAGATGAAAAAATATATATAATTCAACTTGAATTACAGTCATCTTAATAGCAACACAATTGTAAAATATAACTTTTAATATTTTTTAATGGAGGAAAAGGCCCACAGCAGCAAAGGTGCCTAGGGCCCACAAAAATCATATGGCCCTGCCTGGCCCTGAAGCTTCCCTCAGGATGTCTGGGTTCAGCTGTCTTGCTTCTCTTGATGTAAGTAAGGCCTGAGATCATGACTCTCCTTTTTGGTTTCAGAGTGTAGGACAAACCTTATTGCCACGCTTGCTAACTGACTTTGTGTGGAGTCTCCTGATGAAACTCTCTGCACCTGATCAAACAACTGCATCCGAGGCAGCAACCATACTGAAACTGACTCTGGAATATTATGCCCATAAGGTCACCATGGTAAGATACTTGACAATGAGCAGGGGAGTGCAGAATGTATTCTCTAATGGGCTCTTACTGTCTTTGTTATATGCCTACTTCTTTTCATATATATTTCTTGCCATTGTTCATTATGTCACTTCAATAAAATGAGGCTTTTGTGTGAAATATTTCAAGCATACAGAAAAGTTTCAAAATAATGTAATGAACATTCACTCACCAATCACACCAAATTGTACACTTTGCTATACTTGCTTCAAATTTTAAAGAAATGCTTTAACAACAATAAAATAGTACAACTGTAATTGAAATCCCCTGTGTAACCATTAAGGAAAGTTTTAAGAACCCTCAGCTAGCTGTAGGGCTGGCCACATAATTTGTGGGGCCCAGTGCAAACTGAAATGTGGGGCTTCTTATTCAAAACATAGAAAAAAACTACTATTAGATGTAGAAAAATATTAGATGTAGAAACATATCTCTCTCTCTCTCAACTTGTCATGGTGTTGTTATTTTCTAAGTTAAAAAAAAACTAAAATTTTATAATATTAGCATGCATTTTGCCATCCATCTTTCTATTGTGCAATGCCAATCATAGCTGCAAATATAAGAGCACACAACTTAACAAAATACTACAATTCATATTTCATGCATGCATATGTATTTTACTATTACCAGAAGAGTGGTAAACACTACACAAAACTACCTTAATTGTCTTTATTTCACTCCTTGTCATTCACACATTCTATTAACACTATCTTCATTTTGTTCGTGAGTAAGGAAAGATTGAAAGGAAAAGAATTTATGGATTGCCACATCTTTCTCTTTCCTTCTATGTCATCATTTTCAGCCTAAGTGGTTGAGGCATCAATAGATGTTTATCTTATACCTGCTTTGATTTCCCACTTAACCCCTGCACATCATGGGTCTACTGGAATTCTGTGTTCTTAGGGAATTGTGAATGCTGCCTCTGAATGAGGCTGCAGGAACCGTAGCTGACTCTCATACACACAGGCTGCCACACACACACACAGGCTCCATTGTCCCATGGGACTTCACTTACAAAGCACAAACTCAAGGAAAAACTTATTAAAAATTTCAATATGACGACAGCAGAGGTTTAAACAAAGTGAAGGACCTTCTGAATGTGGGACCTTGTGCAAAAGCATAGGTCACATGCCCATGAAACCAGCCCTGATGGAGACATAAGCGCTGAACTCCCAGTTCCCTCTCCTGACATAGCAGTGTTATGTGATTGTAGATAAACTGAGTGCTTGCACTCAAACTCAGAGAGCAGGAAAGGGGAAATAATGCTTCTTACAAACTCTCATGCTTCTACAGACAAGAGCATTCCAAAAGGCATGCAGACCAAGGGGAAAGCTGGAGGGCAGCAGTTATTTCTTTAACAAAATAAAAGTTCTCCTCTCATGCAGTGAGAAAAGGAGGCTAGGTAAAACCATATCAGGTCCTAGAGAAGACAAGAAGCCAATTGGAAAACTAGATGTGTAAACCTAGCCTGTGCTACAATGAAATCATTAAACATGGAGAAATAAACTGAACAAAAATGGGGTTCAGCAACTTATTTCCCCACCCCAGCTCCCACAAACAATTGAACTACTGAATACACTGGATTCTTGGCTTAAACAGGGTTGGATTCTAAAGTCAGTTATAATGAAAAATTGCATTAAAATTATCCTGAAAATCTCCTAAATTGCAAGTATAGTTTGTGGGCTTACTATTTCTAAATAAATCTAACACAGCACATCTTTCCTTGAGGACTGAAGGAAATCATCATTTCTACAATTGAGCATACAGTAACATAGCTGGCTTGTTTTAGGGGCATGCTGCATTTAAAGTAGGAGGAAGAGGATGAGAAGAAAAAGCTCTAAACCCAATAGTTAAGAGAACTCTGAAGAAGATCACTGGTTTATGTCTCCCATTTCATGTTTACCTTGGAGCATATGTGGTGGGATGAATGTTTTACAATAAACACTTCATTTTGTTTGTTTAGAGTAGAGGGTTGGACACAGATAATTCAATTGTATACGAGGCAATTGCAATGGAATGTAAATTTACATCAAACAACTTTTCAGCTTATGGTCTCTGAGAAGTACTTTCAAAATAAGAAGTGAGGTGATCTGGGTAGATTAAATTTGATGTTGAATATACAACCATTGGTTTGAGAAAAATTCCAGGTCTAGCTAAAACTCTTCTTATTCAAACATGAAGAGGGATAGAAGACAAGATGGTGGAGTAGAAAGACCCGAGTTCACCTCCTCTCACAAGTACACCAAAATCACAACTGCTGAACAACAACTGACAAAAAAGACGGGAGCCTACCAAAAAAGATATTGCAAGGCAGGAATAAAGAGGTAGACATAGAAAATGGACTTGAGGACATGGGGTGGGAGGGCGAAGCTGGGGCAAAGTGAGAGTAGCATCGACATATATACACTACCGAACGTAAAACAGTTGGCTGGTGGGAAGCAGCCACATAGCACAGGGAAATCGGCTCAGTGCTTTGTGATGACCTAGAGGGATGGGATAGGGAGGGTGGGAGGGAGGCTCAAGAGGGAGGGGATATGGGGACATGTGTATGCATATGGCTGATTCGCTTTGTTGTGCAACAGAAACTAACACAGTATTGTGAAGCGATTATACTCCAATAAAGATCTATTTTAAAAAAGATATTCTACATCCAAAGACACAAAGAAGAAACCACAATGAGATGGTACAAGGGGCACACTAGTGATATAACCAAATCCCATACCATCCAGGTGGGCGACCCACAAACTGGAGAATAATCATATCACATAAGTTCTCCCACAGGAGTGAGAGCTCTGAGCTCCATGGCAGTCTCCTCAGAATCAGGAGGTGGAGCTCCCTGAGTATTTGGCTTTGAAGGCCAATGGAGCTTGACTGCAGGAGCTCCATAGGACTGGGGGAAACAGAGACTCCAGTCTTGGCACACACAAGTTCTTGTGCATACTGGGACCCAGGGCAAAACAGTGATTTCATAGAAGCCTGGGCCACACTTACCTGCTGGTCTTGGAGGGTCTCCTGGGAAGGCAGGGAGCAGCTGTGGCTCTCTCTGGGGTCATAAAAGCTGGTGGTGGACATATCAGGGAGTGTTCATCTATGTGAACTCTGGCTGGAGGAAGATATCTTGCTTGGCACTGAGATCTGGCCTCACCCAACAGCCTGTGGGCTCCAGTGTTGGGATTCCTCAGGCCAAACAACCAACAAGGTGGGAACACAGCCACACCCATCAGCAAACATGCTGTCTAAAGACTTCCTGAGCCCATAGCCACGAACAGACACACCCCTTGACATGGCCCTGCCCACAAGAGGACCAAGACCCAGGTCCACCAACCAGAAGGCAGGCACTGGATCCTCTCACCAGGAAGCCTGCACAAGCCTCTAAACCAGCCTCACCCACCAAGGGGCAGGCACCAGAAGCAAGAAAATTATGATCCCACAGGCTGCAGAACTGAGTGTGCAAACACAGGTCAGAACCTACCCTGGGACCCGCTAGTCCCTGGCCGTCTGGTGGTAAGAGGAAAGTGTATTGCTGTGACACAAAGGACATCCCCTACTGAGGGCCACTTCTTCAAGGTTGAGAAACATAACTAAGCTACTACAGAAATTAAATACAAATAGAAATTTAAAAAAAAGAGATGGCAAAGGAATATATTCCAGACAAAATGAACAAGATAAAACCCCAGAAGAACAACTAAGTGAAGTGGAGATAGGCAATCTACCCAAGAAAGAGTTCAGAGTAATGAACTTAAAGATGATCCAAGAACTCGGGAAAAGAATGGATGCACAGAGCAAGAAATTACAAGAACTTTTCATCAGAGAGTTAGAAAATAAGAATACAATAACTGAAATGAAAAATACACTAGAAGGAATTAATAGCAGAATAAATGAGGCAGAAGAATGAATCAGTGAGCTGGAAGACAGAGTGGTGGAAATCACCGCTTCAGAGCAGAATAAAGAAAATAGAATGAAAGTAAATGGAGACAGTTTAAGAGACCTCTGGGACAAGGTCATAGGCACCAACATTCACATTATAGAGGTCCCAGAAATAGAAGAGGGAGAGAAATGGCCTGAGAAAATATTTGAAGAGATAATAGCTGAAAACTTCCCTTACATGGGAAAGGAAACAATCACCCAAGTTCAGGAAGCACAGAGAATCCCATAAAGGATTAACTCAAGGAAGAACACACCTAAACACATAGTAATCAAATGGACAAAAATTAAAGACAGAGAAAACATTAAAAGCAACAAGGGAAAAGCAAAAAAATAACATACAAGGGAATCAGCTGATTTGTCAGCAGAAACTCTGCAGGCCAGAAGTGGGTGGCATGATATATTTAAAGTGATGAAAGGGAAAAACCTACAACCAAGAATACCCTACCCAGCAAGGCTCTCGTTCAGATTCAATAGAGAAATCAAAAGCTTTACAGACAAGCAAAAGCTAAAAGAACTCAGCACCACCAAACGAGCTTTACAATAAATGCTAAAGGAACTGCTCTAAGTGGAAAAGAAAAGGTCACAACTAGAAACAAGAAAATTATGAGAGTGGTAGCTCACCTGTAAAGGCAAACTTACAGTAAATGTAGGAAATTATCCACACACAAATATGATCTCAAAATCAGTAATCATGAGAGGAGGAGAGTACAAATGCAAGATATTTTAAATGCATTTGAAATTAAGATATCAGCAACGTAAAACAATCATGTGTGTGTATATATATATAGAGAGAGACTACTATACCAAAACCTCATGGTAACTGCAAAACAAAAATCTATAATGGATATAAACACAAAAAAGAAAAAGGAATCCAAACACAACACTAAGGATAGTCATCAAATCACAAGAGAAGAGAACAAAAGAGGAAAGGGAAAGAAAATAGACTTACAGAAAACAAACTCAAAACAATTAACAAAATGGCAATAAGAACATCCATATCAATAATTACCTTAAATGTAGATGGGTTAAATGCTCCAACCAAATGACGC